ACGTGGGCAAGGAGCAGTACGTGGGCAAGGAGCAGTACGTGGGCAAGGAGCAGTACGTGCCACCCCGGTCACCAAAGTAACGCTGGGCCAGCCAAGGATTCTCTGTTTCACTTCAGCTGTGGACTAAAGAGCAGCAGAGACGCTGAGGAGGGAAGGATTCGGGAAGGGGAATACTGAACTTGGAAGCGTGGCTTGGTGTGGAGAAGTTGTGGAGGGTCCCAAAATTCATCTCTTAAGAGAAGTGATTTCACAAATGCTGGAGGATTCCAATCACTATAAATATAGAGATTATAATTTTTGTATTTTTGTTTTTAATTTGCAGAGGGTTTCCTGCTTGAAGTCAGCTTTGGGATTGTGAAAGTAGCGTTTTGACAAAGTGAAAGAATATAAGTTGACAAATTAACCTGTCCCTCGGTGTAGGAGGAAAAGGATAAGAGAATATTATTTTTGGAAAATGAGCATTTCTGTAAAATTAGAACTTTTTTAAACCTATTTAACGTTTGGCTTGTGGGCTGGTGTGTCTGCCATGGGAGGCCTGGCATTGCAGAGGCCTCTGCAGCAGCGTGAGCGGAGCGAGTGCAGCCAGAACTGTTGTCATCGCTTAGTCACTGATGATGAAAACTGAATGTACTACTGTAGTGTAACCCATGTGTTTCCAGCTTGAAGTAGAGTCTCTTGACCTTACTAATATTTCATTCAGCAAGCTTTTTAAGGTATAAGTTCTGCAGGATACTGGATTGTAGGTGAGAGTGTGTGGACAGCAGAAATTGTCTCGACGCAGTGGAAGGAGGCAAAGGGAGCATGTGAGAATCTTTATTGTGCCCTTTCTCCTCGCCTCCTTTTGAGGGCAACTCCTTAGGTTTGGGGTTTTGTTTGTTTGCTTTTTCCCTCTCTTGTTACTTTCTCTGATTTCTTTATTACAGACTTTAGTGCATTTTTCTTGGTGTGTTTTCCTGAGGCAGCCCCAGGGTAGGACGGGCAGGTGGCTACACAGCACCTGGTGTTACCTGCACAGGTAAGGAGCCTGGAATTGCAGCTGCAGATGCTGAATTCTGCCTTGCAGTGGCAGCTCTGCATGGCTGGGTTTTTTCTCTGTGCTGACTCTGGAATAGGCTGTTGGCTGCTGTCTTGCCAGAAATCAGGGTTTAGACTCCTGGGAACTTGTTGTTTACAGCTGATGTCATAGCAACTGACTCGTTTTTTTAAGTGTTTAAAGTGGAACTAAAGATGCAGAGTTAAGGAAATCCCCTCGTGTTCAGAGAAGCTACTGGAGCAGTGGCTCCTTGCCAGCTGTGTGCTGACTGAATTTGCAACACTATTGTGCAGTAAGTGGTTAAGTTTCAGGGTGATTAATGACCGAAATAGGAACATTCAGCGCATTAATCTGCCAAAATCAGCATACCAGGGTTCAAAGTTCTGTATAAAGCGTTAGGGAAAAGTAGCTTCCAGCAGTAAGAATCACATCTTTATTTTTTCCTCTTTTTTTTTTTTTTTTTTTTTTTTTTTTTTTTCTTTTTTTTTTTTTTTTTTTTTTTTTTTAGTGAATAGCAAGTGTACAAATTTAAAGTTGTAAGTTGTGAACACTGGAAAATTCAATTGTGATATATTCCGTAACCATCTTAGTAATATATGCTCGTGTTGCCATAGAATGAATGTAAGTGGCAGTTAAAATAACTGTGAAATTTTTCATCTTCTGATTTCTTAGCCAGATAACCCTTGGCAACTTGGGCCTCAGTAGGAATTCTCTTATCAACTGCTTGGAGAACACTCATATCTATTTTTATAAATATATATATAAAGCCAGAGTTGTCATTTCTCTAACTTATTATTCAGCTTGGCAATTGCTTTGAGTTGATTCATAACACAATATAATGTATTTATGCAGTTAACTGTTCATTTCTAATCATGTTACAAAGAGAGAGTCAGAGAATCATTGATTGGGCTGAGTCGGAGGGACCCATCAGGATCATGGGGTCCAACTCCTGCCCTGCACAGACACCCCAAAAATCCCACCCTGTGCCTGAGAGCGTTGTCTGGATGCTTCTGGAGATCAGACAGGCTTGGAGCTGTGGCCCCCCTCTGGGGAAGGACCTTTTCCTCCCACCTCAACCTCCCCCACCTCAGCCTCCTGCCATTTCCTCGAGTCCTGAAGTATGTATACATATACATATTTTCATATATATATGTATATATAAACCCCAAAATCACTATTGACTTTGAAACTACCTGTACTGGGTTGGGGAGGGTTTTTTTGGGTTTTTTTTTAATTGAGTAAAAAAAATCATTGATCACATCCACAGTTTAGGGATTCTTACAAACCCTTCTCTCTTTATTTTGATAATGCTACTCTCGTTGGAACGCTAGGGAAGTTTAAATATTCAGTGTCAAAGTCCTGAAATGCAATGAATGCAAAGTTTTAATTCGTTTTAAAGGCTCTAAACAATTCCTGCAGCCAAAGTGGAAGGAAAGAAGCCTGTGGGATGGTTCAGGGGTGTTCAGGGGAGACGTGGTCTGGGATGTTGAGGGAGCAGCGGGATGCTGACAGCTCTTGGGAGGAGGAATGAGAGGGAAAAAGGAGCTGGTGCAGATGTGGCTCAGAATTCCTGACCCAGTGGCAGCGTTTGCTTGTGCTGAGAGGGCCTGAGAGGTGAAAGGGAACTTTGTCATGGATCAGGTGTGGGAAAAGCCAGCCCAGAGTGGCTCCGTGGTGCTGTGGGGTGGTGGAGAGGGGAGCTCTGTGACTCCTGGGGGTGTTCCAGCAGCAGCAGCAGCTCCTGCTCTTGCGCAGGGCACGAGGCTCAGGCTGGAACTCTTGGCTTTTCCCAGCACACCCCAACTCCTCTCAGCTTAGGGCACTTGCAGTGATTCATTTCACACCTGCGTGCAAAGATTTCACGTCAGCGGTTCCCTCCCACCATTTCCAGCTGTGGTTTGGGGTTGGTTTTATTCTTTTGCTTTCTATTCTTTCCTGTGCAGGGGGAAATTCCCAGTTGGATGCTGTGAAATTTATGGGGTGGGAGTTTTCCTTTAGCACTGGGACCTGCCAGGGATTGGCTTTGCCTTTTCCTCTCGTGCTGGGCTGGGGAAGGATCTGGTGGCTGTCCCCACCAGTTTGCCCAGTTTGCCCAGTTTGCCCAGTGGGTAGAGGGGTGCTCTGGAGCCAGCCCCACTGCTGGGACAGCTCCTGGGAGCTGCTCCTGTCCCCAGCTCCAGCTGCTCTCCAAGTGCCCGGAGCTCCCCGTGCTTCCCTCCGGGTGTCCCCCCGGGATGGAAATCGTCCTGCTCCGCTGAGATTAAAATCCAGGAGGTGCAAATCACGCCTCACCTTCAGCTTCAGGAACTGTGACTTGTGCTCAGAGTTGTTGGCTTCCGTTAGGGGCAGAAATCCACTCCCCAGTTGGGTTCTTTTCCAATTTACTGTGTGTGGAAAAGATTGGGGCGCCCTGCCGTGCTTCTGCTGGGGAGTAAAAAGAAGAAATTCTTTGCGTGTGATAGTACAATTAAAAGTGCAAAAAGTTTTCTTTTGATTTCTAACATTAAGTTAGTTTTATAGTATCTTACATTCCTGCTCTTGTTGTTTTGTTGGGATTTTTGTTGTTGTTGTTTGTTTTTTTTTTTTAAATTAGNTAGGAAAAAAAAAAAAAATAAAGTAACCCACTATTAACCAGAAGAGAAAGATGATACTGTGGCAGATCAGTAGCAAATAAGTGACTTAATCGATGCTTTACTGTAGTTAAATAGCTATGGCCTTACTACTTTGTCAATATCAGCTTAATTGTCTTGAAACTGTCTGCAATTTTTACTGTTCCCAGGTGAGTTTGCCTGGGCTGAGATATCTGGTATGTACAGATGATATTTTAAATTTGTAAAATGCACCATTGTATTACAGATGATGCAACAGAAATGCACTTCGGGGGGAAATGGCTTCTGATGAGTTTTTTTGTAAATCCTTGATTACTACAGATATGCAATAGAGTTTTTTGTTTCTAATTTTGATATTTCCTTCTGAAACGTAAGATTGTTGCCATTAATCTGAATGATTTATCATGCTCTTCTTTGCGTGTATATATTCCATATAGTCTGAGCTTCCTTTAGGGTGGTACATAATTTTGGGTTGTTGTAGAATTTTAGTTGGCTCTTCTCTTCAGTGCCTTTAGCGCAGGCACTTCAAGAGGTTCACTGAGTCTGTTTTTAATGTACAGTTGGGAGGACTTGAAATGGAGTTAAAGCAACTTATTTCTGAAAAAAAAAAAAAATCCATCTGCAAACTTAACCTGTAACAACTTTAAAATTTTATATTTAAGAACCAGATGTTTATTTTTATGGAACTTCAGTTAGGGATACAGTTTCCAAAAAAAAAAAAAAATGCAACTTCAAATGTAAACAGACTGTGCATAAATGGGTTTTGTTCTAATTTTTATAGAATACAAAATATTCAGATAATATATTGAGCTCGAGTTACTACAGACATCTTGTTCCTCCCGGATGAATCCAGCTTCCCCTTGGCATTGACGATCTCTCTTCAAAGTGGTAGGAAAGGACAAAAAAAGCAACTTATCTGGCTTTTAGACTGTCTGTTCTGGTTTATTCCTGTTGTCAAAATGTCCAAAACAAAATTTGTGTAAAGTAGGTTCATGCTTTAAGTGTTCAAATGATAATACATGTATTTGTATTTGTTTTTGACATTGCCAAGGTGCTATGGGAAATTGAAATAACAGTTAGAAAAATAAAGCTGATTTAAAAGAGAAAAAAAAAA